GTCTGTCACAGGCTGTAAGTGCCAGAGAATTAACTGTCCTTGCCCTGCTAACCCCAGAGCAGCCATCAAACCATGCACCTCAGGAGCTGATCTATAAACACCTCAGTCCCTTCACGCCTGAGAGGCAATAATCTGAGCTGTATCCTTAGACACAGATCTTAGCAGATCGCTGCAGGATGATGCTACAGTACTGGGTGCAACGGGCTGATCGACAGTCCCTCTCCAGTCACATCTGGTTCTGGTGCTGCAGCTCCTTCCACCAAGAGTAGTTTATTTCTCTGTCTTGTGAATCCAGCTGATGCTGTGAATTTGCTTTGGCCAATAGAATGTGGCAAAATGATAATGCTGGATCTCTTCTATTGAATGCTTAGCAATTCCTCTACCTTGTATAACCAAATACCTTTGAAAGCATTTGTGTATAAACTAATTCATTAAATAATCAAAATAACAATATAATGTCTTGCCCTTATTTCCCCCATTTTACAGATGAATTAACAGACACAGAGATGTCAGACAACTTCCCAAGGTCATGTTGCTGGTAAGACACTACAGAGATTTATTTAATTTTTTCCCAAGTTTCAGATATTTATTCATTAGTGTGAACCTCAACACAATACACCAACATGATTGTGCATTTAGAAGGGAAGTACTTCTTGGGTAAGTGGGAATTCTTATGGAGCTTCTGGAAGACCTTCATTTTAAGCAACTTCTAGTGAAATATTTAAAACTCTGGAACCTTCCTTCAGTCTGTGGTCATCTACATTCACTTAGTAGAAACTGTATTGATCACTGGAACCCAGTTTGTTCCAGGTTCTAGGTTATTCTTTGTCTCAGCTGACATTTGGGTTGAGCAAAGCCAGACACATGACATGCAGCACCACTCCTGTCCCTCTAGTTCCAATAAATGCAATAAAAGCAGGGGGGACCAAGCAAGGATGCTTCTGGGTCTGATTAGGGGTCTGGCAGAGCATGGATAAGGGAGAAGCCTTGGGCCAGGCAGGAGAGGAGAACAAACCTGTAAGACCCAGCACTAAGTCTCTATCCACACAATATTATGTATATCAGAGGCTCTAGGGAACCAAGTGTACCATTAACAGGAGTGTCTTCCCCTTCATAAAACAAGATAATTTTAATTCTATCCTCCACTGTACAGTTGATGCTTCTGGCCACTTTGCAACTTTGGAGAAGAATAATTTGTTTCAAACTGTAAATCCATGGGTACAGTGGTCCTCCTCTTGAAAGCTGGTCTTTCATGCATAGAGTTATCCATCTCCCAGCCAAGGGTTTTGGGAAATGCACTTCACAACTGTCCTGCCATAATAACAGCAGTACTGAGGCTGTAACCATAGGACCATTATACGTGGCCACTACATGGTTCCTATAACTTCACAAATATTCCACTGTGTCTTTTCACCTCCCTAAAGGGTTCTTTCATTATTCAAGTTGGCTTGCCAAAAAGCACTGAAATGCTCCACAGGTCTCCATCGAAAATATATACATTTTAGCTCAACTGCCATAGTCAATATTTCTTCTTCATTCTCTTAACCATATATGATGCTTTCTTAGGTACTGTGATATTCAGACAAAACAAAACATAGTTGCATCATTTTCCTATGGAATTTCCAATCCCACATAATAGAAACGATTGTAAACAGCTTTATCCCTATTACTGGACACTTTGGAAATGGCCTGCTTTGGAACCAGCATAGTCTTAAACACAGAGCAGATTGCTTTAGGAGACAACAGTCCTTCTGGGATTCATGCTCTTTGATGAGGGGGAAAATAACAAAACAGAAACATGCACAAGTCTCAGCCACAGTCAGCGTTTCCTCACTTGATCCTGGCCATGCTGGGAGGCCCTGTCAATCTCAGATGTCTTCCCCTCTGTTTTCTCAAGACAAATCACTTCAGTCAGGTGGGTCTGTGGGGACCGAGTCTCGACACCTCGTACTGCTCAGTCTCCCAGCCCTGGAGGAATCTGTCTTTGCCCTCCCTTTGCTTCACCTTTTCAGTATAGTAGTCACAGCTCATAGAAGGGTTAGACTCTAAAGACAGAAGCTGTGACCAAGCACACCCAGTCCTGCCAAGGCTTCTCCTGCATTGAGACGGGAGGCAGCTCCATGGGTGGGAGCTGAGCGTGTGGGAGTGGAGGTGGGCAGAGGGAGCACCTGCCTCAAAACTCAAGTTGGAAATATGTTCACTAAAGGACAAGAAGATCCACACAATCTCAACTTCATCCTCTCACTTGCTCACCCTACCTCCCCCTCCACTGGTCTCTCATCCTCTCCTTTCCAGGCTGTGCACATGGGGAGAACAGGGGCCATATCACCTTCATTCCTGCAGCCTGATGCTCAGCACTCCTCAGACTTAAACACCAAAGAAATGTACATGCAATCCCGGGCAAAAATGAATCAAGAGAGTTAAAAGATAACCAAAGCAGCCCACTTCAGGCTCAGCCACTCAGCCTCTGTCCACCAGCCTTGCTCTCACCAATGTACACTGACCATTCAGCTCCTCTCTCTGAGCCTGGCTCTGTTTAAAAGTTTGGATGAGTTCAGTGTAACTGTGAATGAGGCTTTGGCTGTGTATCTCTACTGACTCAATCACATATTAATGTTTCTCTAATGGCTCCTCTGGGAATAGCCGTAGGCCCACGAGTATCATGAAGGCTTATTGGGTGATTTCACCAAGAGATGATTTTGGGAGACTGAGGGACTTTTGGGAAATAACTCATACCAAGAAGAGGCTCAGAGTTCTGGGCCATGGACACTGTTTTTAAGACACAGAAAATCTCCTCACAATCTCCAGGTAGTATGTCTGAGTCCTAGGAAGTCAGACGTGTGTGAAAGGCTGAAGTCGCCTCAAACACTGTGAAGCATCAGGAAAGAAGACGGTTATCCTGTTCTTTATATGGTAGAGTAGAAGACATTATTAGTTCCAACTTGTCACTCCTCTCTATATCAATCTGTGCTCTGTCCTGGGTGACTCTGCAGTTCCTGTCACTAAAAAGCCCATCTCTTAAATTATGGTTTGGTGATATGACTTGCTGTGACAGCAGAATAAGGCTGAAGTAGTGCATCAGCTCTGAGCGCTGACCCAGAGTTCCCAATGCTTCTGTTTGCCACCCCACGAGAAGATCATGCCCAGCCCACTGGTTCCAGTAGGACAATGAAAAGCACAAGAAGTAAAGCTGAATGGGGTACCTGAGCTAAGCTAAGCTCAACATACCCTCCGCTGAACCGCAGATGCATGAGCAAGTTAGTCAAGATTCAGTTGAATCCAGCTTGGACCAGCCAATCCTCAGCTGACCTGCAGGTCCGTGAGAATAAATGATTTCTGTTTGAAGCTACTGAACTTTGAGGCCTGTTACATAGCACACTTCTGTGGTAACAGCCAGCTGATACATCTAGGAGTCTCACCTGGCCACCATGCTGGTTATCCACACACTATCAATTACTAGGCCAACAGAAAAGAACTCAAGACTAATGCTCTTGAGAGGCAGGTTAGGGCTGTGGAAGCAGTTTTAGGTGCAAGTTAATCTTTCACCACACCTCAAATTTTACATCTTAATGTGTGAAAAGCACAACTCATTAGACATGGATTTGTCCATTTACAAATGGGTGGTAAAACTATCAGGATGTTTACAGGATGTTTATCACCTAACATTTATCCTTGGAGCAAGTGAATCTTCTACCACATGAAATTTTCTACATCCAAAAAATTTCCAACATTTACAGACTGCTTCAAGAAAAAAATAAATTCATATATTTTTGTTTCATGTTACTGCTTCCTTAAAACACTTTCTTAGATCTATTTAAAATTAATAGCCTGATACTTTATGAAACTCCTTTCAAATTGGTTTCTCTAAAAGTCCCAGACGGTCCTTCCTACTAATGTTAAACAACTCCAAAAGCTACTCCATGAGTCTGAAGTTTTGTTCATAGCTTGGCAAAACATGTGCTTCTTTAATCTACCAATCGTGTCCTAATCAAAAATAATGCTAACTCATAATTAAGTGGTTTGGAAGAGTATTTGTGTATGAGGGGGTGCTGGGGGCAGATCCATTACCATTCCCCCAGTAAATTCAATCAAAGGAAAAAAATATATAGAGTTACTTTTCCTCGACTTTTTTCATAAGTAAACATCTTAGGGTAGTCACTAACTAATGAAGGGATATTTCTTTCATTCTACCATAACCTAACTCTCACAGTTAAAATAAGAGGCACTATACAGCATTTTCGAGAATAACTCTCAAAACTGGTGAATATTATTGAGAAATGGAACTAAATCATATGGAAGGGCTTTCTGGCCCCAAGGCTAAAACAACCTTTCAGAAGGGATTGTCGCAAAAGGAAATCACTCTCTGAAGTGCAGCTAAATGATTAGGACCAGCCTCTAACCTAAAAGAAGTCTGAAATAAAAGGTTGGCAAAGAGGAAACAGAAGCCCTCTGTTCACCTTTAGCCCGGGGGGCTCTGTCTGTGGGAGGAAACCCCGGCACAATAGAGGGACTGTCTGTTCACTTGATCAGGATAGCCTGGGCCCTCCTTCACCCCCACCCTGCCTCCTGCTGCCACTACTGTTGCTACAGCAGATGCTATTGTTAAAAGTGGGGGGGGGGAGATTAAAAGAATCTTTATTTTCTAGCAAGTCAAATCAGAAGAATTGGTTCCAAACAGTTGAATATTGACAGGTTCACATGGTCCAATTCAATACCATGAATAAACATGAAATTCACCCTTCCTAGCACAAATACTCAGAAATTAAAGCTAAAGTATAAGAGGTGGGATGATAAGCTAAACAAAAACCAAATTATACCCCAAAATAATAGTTTAGAATTACATTAAAATGATTATATAATATACATTCTTCGGCATGCAAAATAGTACTGTTACCTACCAACTGTACTTCTCTGGTAGGGAAATACACAGTCAGGCCTTGAGCTTGGGGTCAAGGAAAAAGAGCTTTGCAGAATAAAATCATGAAAGAGCAGTGACTTACCCAGAGAGCAACAGCTGACCCTGAAGCTGCAGGTCGGTGGCACAGTCCTCAGAATGGCAATTCCTTTCAAAAACAGTCTAGGAGGAGAGAGATGCAAAGCAACTCAGAACCGGCGTTATGAGAAATGAGTAAGTAACTCAAGTACTTTCTTCCAAATCTGGGAGATTCTCCCCTCACCTCCAAAAAGCCAGCTCCCAGCATGGAGAGGCACCATGGCAGACTCCAAGACACCCACACTGAGGCAGGCTCGGTTTTAGGGCATTTTCTTCAGAGATACATGCCAGGTGTTTTTCTTTCTCTGAGAACAGCTTTAAATGCTCTCAGATGTGAGGGAATGCACAGCTGCATAAAGAATCTTCAGATAACCGCCTGGTCATTTCCCTCTGTTGTCTTGAGGAGGCAGAAAACTTACTTCAGATGTGTTCTGCCTGAGCAATAAAATCATACTGTAACTTTTAGCTCCAAGGGAAAAGTCGAAGGTGAGGAGACCCTGAGGCTGAGGGCCCACAAGGCGCCAGGTCTGAAGGGATCATCATTTCCCTTTAACTTGGCAGCAAGTAGTTAGTAAGGACACAGTGTCATCACTTTAGGCAAGAATGCATCTTCACAGCAGAAGTCCCACCAGAACTAAGACTGACATTCCACGTGCCAAGCCCAACATCTTGCCAGAGGACTTGGGGGTGTGTCTGAGCTGGGACTATCTGGGAAGCTGGCTGAGGAACCAAGAACAGCATCGGGAGAGGAATTACTTTTCTCCTCTCTGTGGCACACTGTATTCTCCAATCTGGTCTCAACGATTCTTTGATGTTTCTAATCTATGGACACCAAGAGCCCCCATGTTCCAGACTGAGAGAGACTCTAAACTACTACTAGGTGGCCTTGACCACATCAGTAGGCTTTAGGAAGAGAAGAGCTTGTTGACATTTTTTGTGGTAATTTATTCACTACTAAATTTCTTCACTGAACTAAGTTTCTTCATTGTCATGAGTGTGAGTTCCAAGTGATTTGCTCCCCTCACACAAGACAGATCCAGGCAGCTTCTCAGAGTGCCAGACCAGACTCCACCAAAGAGTGCCAGCCCAGACCCAACCAGACAGAGTAATTTTGCCTACGGAAATTCATATTCCTGTTCTACATTTCCAAAAGAATAAAGTGTCCCAGCCAACATTTCCTGCCTTGATTGTGGGAGGAACATTCATGGAAGTCTTGGGCAAAAAAGAGGAAATTCCCAAGTTTTTTTGGACACTTGGGAAATGAGAGAGCCAGCTTTCCAGGAGATTTCAACATAAGACAGGTAAGCTGTATTTGCCACCTCAAACAAATTGATGAGGAAGTCAGTGTGAGGACAAATGTCTCAGATGAGATGAGAAGAAAGGTTTTTGAGGATAGGAATATGATAAAACACCAAAGACAACTTTTTTGCCAAATTAATGAAAATTTTGCTTGAGGGCTTTTCATTGACAGATGTCTACAGACCTTGCACCTCACTTGGTATTTGTAATTTTGCATTTTTTTCTTCAAAAGACTCCACTCCAAGTTGTAAGAGCTCAGGTTCCACAAAACCTAGCTCTGGGTCTGGTTATCAGTTCCTCCTTACAGCTAGATTTTCCATTTCACAGACAAGAAGGAGGAATGGAATGAGAAATAGGTGAAAACGGAGGAGAATTTGAACCAATTCCATCCTGTGGCATACGTTCTAGCAAGATACAGCCAGCACCTCCTCATATCTGTGACTCTGGCTCTGTCAGTCAGCCTCAGACTACCGAACTCAGGGCCTCCTCACAGTCAATCCTGGATTCCTCCATCAGTTCACCTAGCACACAAACCAAGTCCCTGAGCTCCCTGATAAGCTCAGGCCTCAAGAGTTCCCCCACAAGCTCTTGAAGTTCCATGCATTTTTTTCCCTTCTACTTCTCATCTCCATAGTAACTAATTATGGTTATCACCATGGCTCATGTTTTTCTCTCCTGTTAAAATCAAGCTCCATGGGGGTGGGGCAGTGCTGATTTTGTTCACTTCTGTGCTTCCTTCTGAGCCATGCATGTAGAAGTTACTCAGTCAACACTGGAAAACCACATAGGATCCTGAGAGATGTGGTGACCACTGAAAAATGGTGAGGCCAATGATGGACACCACCATTTGGGTCAATGCTCATATACTGCTTGTCAACACCAAAATTGTAATCCCAACCAAAGTACCTGTTCCTCAGCTACATATAAGTACAAGACCTCCCAAGGACAGGTGCCTTTTAAGAGTGCTGTTCTCTATTTTTCTACCCCTGAAATTGATTTCTCTAGCTATTGATTCCTCCAGTGCTATTAACTTTCCATCAGCAAAGGCAAGCACTGAGTCCACCATATATATGTAAACACACACGCACGTATAAAGGAGGACAGGCTGAGGGTTCAGAATGCTGACTGACAATATAGAGCTTCTAGGAGCAAGCAGAAACTTCTCTTATACTACATACAAACTGTAGAGTAGAGGTTCTCCATGAAGCCAATAAGCCAAACCCACATCTCCGTAACCTGCTGGGCAAACACAAACTTGCTATCTACACAAGTAAACCCCGAGCATGTCTCTCTCACCTCCCTCCACCTGCTAGTTTGCAAACCTCCATTTTTTTTTAACCCGACAATTGTCTTTCTGGAAAATGGAAATAGATCAAAGAAGCCATCATCTCTTATTCCTCTATGCCTGAAGGAGACTGAATCCTTTCTTTCAGAGAGCTATGAAACAGAACCCAGTCACCCCTTCAGCTTCAGACTAGAACGCCATACTGGCCCTTCTTCATCTGGTCTTCACCTGTTTATTTTCAACATATTTAATGAGGCAAATGTCAAGCAAGCATATCAACATGTTGAAAAACAAAGAAAATTGAGAAGTTTAACTACAAAATCACTTGTACAGAAAAGCTGGCATCCCAACAGTTCCAAACACAATACAGTTTTCCCCTAAAATTTTATTTTGTCAGAAATAAGACACATCATCTCAATTTCCTCAAATATTTTTTTTTCTTAAGAAAAAAGAAATCTAACACTGAAGAGGCATTGACTTGTTTCTTGAGATGACCATAAAAGTGTATCAACATCTGTAAGTTTATAAGGAAACATGACTGGGAATTGTGTTATGCCCACACCCCATTCCTCACCTCCTGGTTGGGCAGAGGAGAGGAGGTGATATAGACTCCTTTACAGAACCTGACAATGTTGAGACAGCTGAAGCCCAACCACCCTCTAGAGAGTCAGGTGCCTACTGAGGGCTTCTCCCCAAATTGTTACTGCTTTTACAACAGGGTGGGAAGATTATTTTCTGTAAAGGGTAAGATAGTAAATATATTCAGTTTTGTGAACCTCCACTAAAACTACTCAATTCTGCTGCTATAGAATGAAAGCAGCCACAGATAATCTGTAAAGGAATGGTCTTAGCTGTGTATCAATAAAGCTTTATTTATAAAAGCAGGTGACAGGCTGGGTTTGGTCTGCAGGCTATAATATAGTTGTGGAATATTTGGCTAGTGGCTTTCTCATTCCCTTCAGGCTGGGGGGGGGGGAGGGAAGAGTCCAACTAAGTTTGGAGCCAGAGTTCAGTGTTGCTTTTTAACCAGCGGAGGAGCTAGAGGTTAGTGGCTGCTGTGGCCAATGCTGACTTCACATACCCCAGGCATGTGGTACCCACTTCTCCTCCCCAAATCAAACTGGCTGTTGGATTTTGAGTTTATTCCAGCTGTCTTGTTCAGAAGAGGCTTGTTTCTTGGACTTGGTGACATTTACTTTAAATAGATATATAATGAAAAAATTAAACACCAAAAATAAATTAAGAATATGTAATCACTGGCATAAACGAGATGCTGTTTATTAGGTTGCTGTGACAACCAAGCCCCAAGCCAGCCTGAGGCAATAAGACGACTGAATTGATTGGACATAAATACTTTTCAAATTTCCCAAGGGGACCACACACAAGAAAGCTATTCTTACACTAAAATGAGCAAGACATTTTCTGATAGGCAATATGGCTTTGCAGAGGGTCTTTGTGCAGATGATTAGAGGGATATTTCTGAACTTGGCTTTCCCAGGGCTGCACAAGATCCTGGAGGTCCTGGTCACATCTATCTCGGGTCACAGTGCCCAGATCCCAGCGGAGCATTACATTGTGTTTCTGGGTAAATGCCATGACCTGACTGTATGAGGTTTCTCCCTTCTGATTCTATTTCACTGGGCTTTTTGCAGAATCCTACAGTGTCTTAAATGTAAATGCACCCTGCCAGTGTCTTAAATGTAGGCTAGCAGTCTTAGCTCTAGGCAGCCATGTGTCCACAGAAATCAGGTGTTCAAAATGAGGTCAGAGAGAGTTGCTGTCAAAAGAATGTCACACCATAGGAACAAATGAAAAACCATTTTTTGTAAGACTAAAAATTCCTTCTCTTTCCAGGCCTGAACAAATGTCCTTTCAGATTTTGAAAGCATGGGAAGACAAACAACCCTACAAACACAAATCTGGCACTAGTTGTGCTTCATGGAGAAATGGGAAGTGATATGTCCTTCTGTCTTTGGCTCCTCTGGTTTAGTCCGCAGCTCTGTGGTAAGACTAGTCCCCTCTGTCTAAAGGCATCACTTCGATGACCCAGGTCAACCCCCTGAAGAACAGAGTGGGGGTGAGCTGTTCAGGGAAGCCCTGGCATGCCAGGGACCAGATCTGGCTCACCCAGTGCCTTTGGAGCTGGGTGGCCTTTCACAGACCACATTTTATATCCCTCCGCAACATTTAATATCAGGCAGTAACTTTCTTTGAGGGACGTCTGCCTCGCAGGTTCAGGAATTTCCACCCTGGAATCTTTCATGTTTGATACTTCACTTATTTTTCTTTAAAAGCTGCTGTTGTTAACTAGTCACAAGAGGCATAGAACAGAATCCCAATAAAGGGCCTGAGGCTGTCAGAGAAAAGGAGACATATGTTTCAGTGTTTCTGAAAACTGCTAAGTCAGATATCACCAAACAACTGGGAGTGAGAAAGATGGTCTGAAGACCAGAGAGAACACCAGCAAGGCCGTTCACCTGCACACAAGCACGTTAAAGAA